TTTATAAATTATAATTTGTAGTAGTAACATTAATATAAGTTAATTATGCTAAAAGTACAAACTAAATTCCTATATATAAATAAATAAAAATTTAAAATACAGTATATTTTATTTAAAAAAATTGCTAAAAAAAAAAACAATTTTATAAGCAAGTATTGAATTAAATTAAAAACATTCTAAATTGTATTTTAATAGGCCATTATATTTTCTGTACACCTGTTTTATATACTAGTATACAAATAAATTAAATATATGTTTTAATAAAATTTCTATTACAAAAATATTTAACCAATTTAATATATAAATAAAATAAAAACTAGTATATTCTATCTTTAAATATCCGTATTTTAGCAGCATTTGTAGGATTTTTAAATATGTACCTAAAAAATGATCCAATTCTAGCCGGCATAAATCAATCTAGTTACAGAATAATAGATATTGGATCTGAATAAGTATTATAATACACGAAGAAACGAATTATCCGGATCCAAACACTAAGATCGAATAAATTTTCTATCAACCAATACCCAATAATTTAAAAATATCAGAATTAAATTTAAAAACTAAAAGTTAAATCTTCATATATAATCGAAGATTATGATGGCGCTAAATTGCTAAATTTAAGGGATCTTTGCAACAATCATTTCGAGATTTCATTAACATTAATGAGGAAAATGAGGAAATTAAAAGACAAACGAGATAGTAATGTCACTTTTCTGATTTTCCAGTAAATTTTATTATAATCCGTCTTTAAAGATAGAAGGATAAAATATTAATTCTTGATATTTTCTACCGATTCGTGACAAGTTTACTAAGTACAGCCAAATAACAGTACTGAAATTGTCCAAGAGTTTGAACCATAGTCCTACGTTGTTCTCGAAAATGCGCAACCAAATTGTAAATCAAATCTGATTTGTCGTCGGACTGAAATTCGGGCAATAATGCTAATGTAGAATCCACTGTACAAAAAGTCCCCGTCCTTCCGCAACCAGCACTACAGTGTACCACGACAGGACCAATTTTAGTTTGTTGCAAATTAGCATCATCTATATATCGTTGCTGAATTTCATTTGTCTTAACGACCAAATTGAGGACATTATCTGGGGAATCAGGAACTCCCTGATCGGGCCACCCTATGAAATGAAGTTGCGTGATTTGTCGCACTTCAATAACATGTGCATCCTCAAACCTTTCGACTCGAAAAGTTCTCACAACACATGTTGCGTTCGGATCCAATTCCTCAGATTCTAATCCAATTTTCAGTCCGATGTCTGGAAATACCATAGGAAGATTTCCTTCATCGGGCCAATATTTAGAACACTTGTTTCTACCTTTTTCTTGTTCTCTTGTTAACATGACTATTACAGTCGAATATTGCTCCCATACCATTAGCCAAAAATCATCAATAGTATTGTCTAATGGTCCTTGTGTAGCAATATATCGCCGAACTTTACCAGGTGCCTCAACGTAACTTGCATTAATATAGTCTGTTTTGTTTGGGCGTTGCTTTATTACCTTTACTCGATTATAGTTGAAAGGTACAATATCAGAATATCTATTACACTCCATTGACACATTAGTGAGGGCCTCCGTCATACTGAATCTGTCGGAGGGCTCGTTGGCACGGCGACATCGCTCATTTTCAGCAATAGAAATAAGACGAAACTTGGCAGACAAAGTCGCCTGATCCAAATTTTGTGCGTCAGAAAGAAAGAGTGGAATATTTGGCAATCGTTGACCAGACATTGTACATTTAGTTTCGGGGTTAATAATGAGTAAATATATATTGCTGCGCCTTGTATTCTATGCGTGTGGCGTAAACTTTGGTATTACGATCAGTGTGCATTAATGTTGAACTAAAAACAAAATCGGTTTCGATATTTCTGTATTTCTTTAAAAAAGGCAGTAGCATAATGGAAGTTCGTTTTGATTGGCTATTTATTATTATGATATTAAAAAAGCATTGTTACACGAGTTGTTATATTACAGGTTACCTTTATTAAAATAAGAAAAATTTTATCGAATTTTAATTTGGCCGTTTTCGTGATATCGCTAGTGCCAGAAATAGCTGGACACTCTGATGTGGAGGGTGGTAGAGCATAGCGGGCTTTACACTGAATATACCATCTGACTTTAAACGAGTTGGCAAAGGATGCAACATATAAATTCTGAAACTACACCTCTCATTCTACCTACAGTAAAAATAATTCGGAGAATGAAGGAATAATTCAGAAGTTAGTGATAAGGTGTACTTTTGGTCTTATAGGTTAAGGTAATTCAGCAATCGGCAAAGTAATTTGTACCTTGGCTAATAAGTACTGCTCTTTTTAAAATCTTGAAAATAGTGATTCAAATAACAATACTTACAGTTGGTTTTTTTTAAATGTTACAATATATTAAATATAGTGCATACGCAGGATATTATATGATTACATGTTTTGTTTTATACTTTTTATATGCATGTATTACCATAGTGGTTTTGTTATGTTATTTATTATTTAGTTAGTAACTGATTTGGTTAATAAAATTATTTATATATATAATAAAGTTTAAAAACATTGTTGAACTTAACCAGATATATATTTATAATGGTTAACGGGATCAAAATATTATGTTTAAATCTTTTTATTTATCTAAAGAGATTTGTTATTTATTATCTGCAATAATGATCACTGTAATATGATTAAAGATAGAGGGTATGATTTTCAAATTGTATATAAAACTTATAGTAAATTTCTATTTAATTAAAAATAAAAACATTTTCTTGTGACTTGGTGAAGTTAACATGAGATGCATGTTCAGAGGTTTTAAAATAAAACATTCAAGCAAGAATGTTATATATAACAATTAGTAAAAAGCCTTTAAATAAACCTTTTAAATAAGTAATATAGAAAAAGTACATATGTAACTAATTGTACACTCATTCTTTAGTAGTTTATAAAATCATATTACTAAAAAATTCATCAATAAAATTTAAAAGACCAAAGAAGTCACTTTAACAACAACAAAAAAAAACTAATTTTAATTTAATATATAAATACACTCTAATTATATATTAAAATATATAAAAATAAAATAAAACCTTAATTTAAAAATGCAAATATAAATTAAACAAAATATAATTTAGTAAAAGTAACTTAAATTGCAAAAAATATAAAACCTAATATTAGCAAAAAAAGTTAGCTAAATTGTTATTAAGTTAAAATCTAAATTTAAAAAGAATTCATCTATTTAAAAGTTTATTTAAATAAGTATAAATAATATAAAAATACAAAACAGAACAAAAATAGTTATAGTTTATAGTAATAATTTATAATATAATAAATTTAGACATAGTAGTAATAGAAACTAGATTATATATGATAAAAATAAATTAGTTCTAAGTTTGTAATATAATGTATATGTTAATAAAAAGCAGTAAAATGTAAATTGTCATAAAGTTACTAGCAAAAAATGGTATTTAAAAATAATAATAATAATTAAAGCAAGGCTTAGTTTATATAAAATTTTACAAGAGTTTTTTTTTTGCCAGGTTACAAAAAAAAATTTTTTTTCAAAGTATCTATATTACACCTAATCTATAAATTTTATTGGTACCGATTATTCAATAGATTAACAGCAAATTTCGTCAAAACAAATTATTTTGTTTAGATACGGCATATCGGGGTAAAGTTAGGACTCAATATTTGTAATAAAAATATCCCCCGATCTTGATATAGTTGATCGGGAAATTTATATAGTAAAATTCCACAGGGAATCACTTTTAATTAAAACTAAATCGCAAAAACCGGTTTGAAATTTGATTGGGTACATGCATGTGATTTTCTGAATTTCGTTGATGCTAATCTTATTCTTTTAAACAAAAAAAGAAAAATAAATAAATAAAAAATAAATTGAAATTTATACGTACTATTTAAATTTTTTAAATAAAAAATATATTAAGAACCAAATATATATAATCATGTGCAAAAGTTATTGATTATTGGAGTTTGGAATGTTTGGTATGCTTGGGCGGGTAGGCATGCTAAAGAGACTATGAACATCAAAAATGTACAACACTAGCCATAGTAGTAATTAGACAACACAAATTTGATAAACTGAACATCACTGGTTTAATTTAATATTTTCGTTCTTATTTTAAAAATGTTTAACACGTCGAAATTAATACACAAAATTTAATTTTAGAGATACCAATCTTAAAACTTTGAAGTCTAATAAAGGGTTAATTGGTTGCATGATTTATATTAAAAGTTTTGTAATTCCAATATTTTATCGATTTGAAAAGAATTATCAAATTTACCGGGTATTTTACGTATTATGGGCATTTTGCACAACGTTTACTATAACGTTAATTTTTAGGATTCATAAATTTAGTGTAACACCCGTAAATGACCCGCACGATAGATTAACGAATGTAGCAATAAAGTGTGAAAATAGACTAAAAAACTGGGTACGTGAGTACAGATTGAGTAATGTAATGTTACACGCACCTGTATGGATCGGTCTATAAAATTCACTAATCGTCAGTCAATGAAGACTTATGCTTTTTAATCTTTTTTGAGAATTAATGAGAATTTTAAAGGTTTCTTGTTCAGGTCAGTTTTTTTTTTTAACTTTCTGAATTCGACACGATATTAAGATCTTCATAAATTTTTAAAAGTTAAACACATGATTTTTTTTCTTTTTTTTTGATCAAATTCTTAAAATTGAAACCTTTCTTGTTTTTCATTTTTCCTTGTTTTTGTTTTTGTTTTTTTTTTCTTAACAACGTACCATCGATGTTACAAAAATTTATCTGATCATTTCATAAATTTTTAAACTTATAATAATCGTTTTTAGCCATAAAAACGTTAGATAACATTGTCGAAATTCATATTATCGATCACCTTGGTTCTATCGTGTGCAGTAATCGTCTCTAAAAAAAAAACAACCAAAAAGAATCGATTAATTTTAATTCTTTTATTGACAATTCATTCATTCACCAAATATAAAATTCATCCATGGAAAAGTCACAACCTGCACCATACCTACCACCGGAAACTTTGGTAGAGATTTTTAGAATTGTTGGAGAATATAATATAAAATCATTATATCCTTGTCTTCTTGTTAATAAACTTTGGTGTGAGAGTGCAGCGTTAATGTTATGGAAAAAACCATTTGAAGTAACATCATTAAGAGCTTCAGCTCAATTAGTCAGCATATATTTTTTATTTTTTTCCCAAGAGACGAAAGACACGTTACTTAACATGGATAGAATTGATGTATCACATCCAACATTAAAGCATCCAAAAATGGATTATTTGGCATATTTAAGATATGTTGACTTCAACATGGTTTATCGTGCTGTACGCATGTGGGTTAGTCATCAAACATTGAATGAACCTTTTCATTCAGGACTTAAGAAAATACAAAGTAAACAATCGAGTCGTATCGTGGAAGAATTAGGAAAACTTTTCACAAATGGATCATCACTATATAAAATATCACTTAATACCAGGTCTTTGGAATACATTCCGGAAGATGAAGAGCCAGATTATAGATCATGGCCATGTTATTCAGCACGTAATTCAATGAGCGAACTTCGAGAATTTGTATGTGGAGGACAATTTGCAAAAGATAATATCTTGCAAAAATTAGCAGAATTGTGTAATGAAATTGAGATCGTCTCTATTTATGATTCTTGTGGAACCTCACCACAAACCTTGATTAATTTTATTAAAGCACAAAAGAGATTAAAACAAATAACTTTAACAAATTGGCAAACAGAATCATTCAGTACTCTAACATCGATATCAACACAAGTACGAACATTTAAACACATAGAATTTATTCAATGTAATTTTCCGACGATGGAAAATGGGGCGCGATTTTTTTGTGGATTAGCAAAATGTAGTAACTTGCAAGTTCTGAAATTTGAACATTGTGACAATTTGAACACTACTTTAATGAGACCATTAGCGAAAGCCGAATTTCCAAGTCTACGAACATTAAGTATAGATAACGTTTTTACTAAAGATGCACCATCAATGGAACTTAAATCAATTATAGAGAATTGTAAAGAGACACTTAAAGAAATAGTTTTAAGGATCAACTTAACATTTTATACAGATATGTTAGAAACTATCGCAAAATTTTGTCCAGGACTTCATAAACTAAATATAACAATCGAAAGAGATTCAGAGATGCAACAACTTATAACATTATTTAGATCTTGTAAAGAATTGATAGAATTAATAATTCATCGAAGACATATATTATTTGATCTTTGGTTTTTACCTTGCAAATCTTTGGTAAAACTTGGAGGAGTGATACCACCGTCATTACGTAGATTAGAATTGATTGGAATTCAATTTGATCATCAATCATGGAATGAATTTTTAAATATTTGTCCAGGCTCGATTAATTATTTTGTTTTTGATCACCCAAGTACGCATTATGTTAAACATGTGGAAAACTATGCAACACGACATAATAAAATTATCAAGGCTAAAGGAATTTTAGAACACTCGTCTGGACAATTTTTTATAGAATTGAGATGAAACATGACATATATTATGTGTAAGCAAATAATTTTTTTTTTTAAAAAAAAAAAAGAAAAGAAGCTTTTTAAGATTTTTTTTCATTTTAACATTTGATTTATTAAATTACACACGCACTATGTTTATATATATATATTTGCTAAATTTGAAATTCCCTGTGTTTGAATAGATTTATATGGTATTGATATTCATTTTCTATGAAGTGCGAAACAACACATCACTGCGCGCGCGTTATTTCGAGACGCCCATGTGCGTTCGTTCGAAATAAAGGTGGTCAAAGTTTTGAACCTGAAATCTATATATATATATACATATATATATATGTATATCAAGTCCAATAATACTTGTTATATAAAGTGCGCGTTATTTCGGAACGCGTATTGGCGTTATTTTGATGTTTTTAAAGGAAACAAAATCCGAAATAACGCCTGCGAGAGTTATTTCACGATGCTACTGTATCATTTATCAATATCTGAACTTTCAAATGCTTTTGCTTTAGAATAATTACATATATATTCTTTATTATGTGAAACCTATTTTTTTATTTAAGTTTTTTATTTAAGTTTTTTTTTCATTAGCATCTAATTTGTGATACATCTATAATTTGAGATTCTTTTTTTAACCCTTAAAAAAAAAAAACTTAATTAAAACCCTTAATTAGAATTGAAAGATTTTTTGTGTATTATGCAGGTAACATATTGTACAAAATATTTTTCTACTATTGCTATATGAAAAATAAATTATAAATCTATTAGTGGACTTTGTACATGTACTTAACTAGAGGACAAATTTAGGGATGTTAAAATTGTGAATCCAATCTGGTCCGATCCAAAGACAGTCCTGGACTTGATCCTTTAAATCACATGAAAATACAATACATTTTATATGACTTAAGATCATGAATTGAATATATCGTCCAATCAAATTAATTTTGTATTGTTATAATAATTCAATTCAGGATCCAAATGTATCGTGTTTTCATTTGATTTAAGGACCGACCGACAGAGTCCTTACCGATCCTGCAAGTCCTTGTAAGGACCGGTTAGGATTCGGTCCCAAAAGACCGATTACAGGATCGGTTAGGATTCGACCGATTACAGCTGTTTTTATAAATTCTGGAAAATCTGACAAAAATTGACCGACCGAATATTTGCCGATTCGATATGTTTAGATAAACTTTTGGTTCGAATGTGATTACATCCGAATCAAAAGTTTATCACTGCCGAAACAAAACTTATCGAATCGGCAAATATTCGGTCGGTCAATTTTTTGCCGGATTGTTCAGAATTTATGAAACAGCTGTAACATCCCTTAGACGAATTCGGTTTAATTATTTTAATATTCGGATGTTTCGAAATCCGAATATATTTCATTGATTAATAATATGACAGGGTGTAAGATTCGTTATGCAGATCACATTAGGATGAAATCCGCTTTTTGCATAATATGATTATATCAGATATCAGATATGTAAAAAAAAACAGATTCACCAAATGATATCATTTTTTGTCGTATATCGATATATGCATTATGCTGTGCTTCAGATCGATTTATAATGATTTCAAGCTTTGTATAAAGACGTGTGATCTCGACAAAGATATTTGATTTGATCGGATGGTATACTAGAAAAGTTTTAAGACAATTATGTGAGAATTAGAAATGCATCTTTATAAGAACAATGAACGACTAAACATTGTTGCACTTAAGGTCTTATTTTCTTTGTCATTATTATTATTTCAATCTTCTGATCATAAAAGTTTAATAAGTTTCTAAGAATAGAATTTTTGCAAGATCAATGGTTAGTAATTTTACAATCAGGTTTAGAATTGGACATGCCTCGGAAAGTTTATTAGGTTGAAGATTTATTTGCTCAAGTGCTGATATCTCCTTTTGTTAATTCTTTTCACCTAGTTAATAATAATCATAGCTTAAATATCATTGAGCGATAAATGTTTTTTTTTTTTTAATACTCACCAACTAAATTAGCGCAAATGTAAGAGATATTAGGTGTCAATAAAGAAACTCTTTTATTAATGTTACTTCTTTTTTTCATTCAAAATACGTGAGTGTTAATACCTGATATTGTATGGAGTGACAATTTACTACCAATATACACTTGTAACTACTAAAATGTTACGTTGTCGCGTGATGTCGAGTAAATGTAAGTTAGATTGCCAAGACATGAATACAAAAAAGTATACGAATAAGAGAAAGGAAACCAGTAAATTAATAAACGAACATTCTCTACTTTGTCGGATTCACTTTGTCGGATTCTACTCTTGTAAAATTGATTTCGGCATGACTACATGTGATCAAATACGATACATGATAACACATACAGCTTGGTCATCAAACAATAATGTAGAATTAAATTTTTTAGAGGTCAAGTTCGATAAGATGAAAAAAGTAGTGAATCAACTTGTAGGTTTTTCCTTTTCGTCACTCACATGTGAATTTTATATTTTAGTACTGGTATCAGCCTCAATAATATCAATGCTTATTTTTCAACTATTAATAATATTAAATTTACAGTGATTTAATTCGTGCAAGAACACGCAAGAACACGCAAGAACACAATGGGGATAATAACAAACACAAGAGGACGAGGAGTGGGAGATAAACCTCTATGATAAATGAAGATTAGATAATAACATCATTATCCTTAGATTGCAACATAAAGGAGTGCGTGCAGCAGACAAAAGAAATACTATGCTATGTATGTTTTTGATTCATCCTATTTCATTCTATTAGTTGATTTATCAATAATGTAATTTTAAAGATGTTTGTCCAACCACATGTATTCAAAGTTGTTTTTTAATTCACATCATTATGGTATTTTAGTGTAATGTACATGCAAGATGACAATGCGTTCAATGTGCTCCGAATAAATAATGCATCAACTTTATAAATGTATTAAAAACCAATGATTATCGAAAAAGATACTTGTCAGTAATATTCTAAAAATAAACGCTAAAGGAATTATGATAATGGTTTGAAATTTTTTTTTTTTTTATTATTTTACAATTAAAAAAGATTTTGTTTGTAACTAATTTAGATGTAAGCACCACTTCTTCTATTGCAGCATTATCAGGTTTGATTTAATATAATTTATATTATAAGACGTATATTGTTATAATGACGCGTTTGACAAACTTACGATTTCAGATGCAGAATCCCGGCAGAATCCATATCTATATGTAATGCACACCTAATTTAGTAAAATGTGTATACTCGAGATTATGCACCCCTGATAGAGTCTTACGTACATACTTAAGTACGTCATATAGAATAAAAAAGAATCATTATTAATAATACTTTCAAATCGTATTTTTTGACCCTTTTCAAATAACATTAGAAAGTGCGATAAGGAAGGAGTCAATGTATCACACATATCACATACAAAGGGCTTGAACCATGAGAAATTTTCACTGAATTACGGCCGAAGTACGATTACAAACCTGTTCACCAGCTTGTTTGCATTTTCGAAAATAGTGAGTATAATAAATAGCGAGTATAAAAGTCTTAGGCTGTCAAGTGTTTGTGTGATACAATATGTAGAAGGTTTTCAATGATTCATTAAAGTTACCGTTTTTTTTTTTTTTTGTGGAGTTGTGTTTATCTTTTGAAACGCATATACCAATATATCACGTGAAATTTGAATAGTATTCGACACGAAAAGCAATGGAAAAAAACAAATGAAAAAGATGAAAAAAAGATGAAAGATGAAAAAGATGAAAAAGATGAAAAAGAAAAAACTAACTGCCTTAGCGTCATCTTCTTTTGTTCAGATAAGATTTTAAATTGCGCAATGCAAATTCGCGCCTATCAACCCATTTGTTACAAATGAGTCAATGAGAATTCTCATCTTCCTTTCCAAATTCCGTTTTAATTCCAATTTTTGTTAAAATTGCGTATTTTATTTATTATTATGTTCAGCCATCTGACCTGATCCAGTACTATGTTACAATACAAACAGTATGTATCGTTGTTTTATTAGGTATTGACCATTTTTATGACAAATGACGCTTTTTCCAGTTTTTTTTTTTTTATATAAATATATATTTTATCAATAATATCAACAATATCAACGATATCAATAGTATCAATAGTAAATAGTAACCAAACTTAACATTCAAAACAGTACAGGAATAACATTAAAGCGTATGTAACAAAGTATTACACGATACCTAGATATACCCGATATATGAAAAAGTTGCGAACAAATTCGGGTGAGATACGTTAGCATGCGTTTGGCAAAGAGACAATAGCATTTTGTTCAAATGAAATAAATGTTTAGAACAATTTTAAATTGAATGAATTTAACGGTCAAAATGCTTCTTTTTTAACATTCACATACATCATTCACATTAAAGATTTTATACATGTAGGATTATATGTACGGGAATATCTAAAGTTAAATGTTGGAAAAATGAAAAGTCGATTTTTTTTTACTCCATGCTAGATAAAGTCCATATCAGGCAGCTGGTATGATGTCCAAATGTTTACGTTACTATTACTTTTTTTAATTTTAAAATTTATAATTACCGTTATGCTTAAACATTATGGCCTAACCTAAAGATTTTCCTAGAATACTGGTTAAGTCTTATTTAACTAAATTAGTTTAATAGTAAAAAAAAAATCTCGATAATCTTTATCTTAGGCATTCGTTAATGAAAATAACTTTTAATTTAATATATATATATTTTAAATAAAATAGTTCGACCAGTGCTTACACAGGAATTTTGATTACACATAACTACATACAGTAAACATAAATGTAAATGTATATGTAAGTAAATATATATGCATATAAATATAAATATTATATATATATGTACGCATACTGTATATGAATGTAAATCAATTTATTTATTTTATTTGAATATTATATAAAGTTTAAAATTTTATATGCAAATATAGTTGCATGTACGTAGTCGCACTAAGTGTATTAATATATAAAAAAAAAACCGTCGCATTTTTTTTTAACGTATGATTTTTTATTAATTGTTTTAGAGTAGTAATAACGATAACAGTGCATTGACACATATACTGACACTCTTTACCAATTGAAACCTGGTCGTAAAAGAAGTGACATTTTTAGAATTCATCTTTTCTCATTAGTCAATGTGCGTCAACCTTTTAAGAATGTAAACGTTGAAAAAAAAACAAAATTAGTACCATAAACCATACCCGCGTGCAAACCGCGGAATCTATAATAACCAAATGCATTTTTTTTTCTGTTTTTTTCTTTTTTTTTTTTTTTTCTGAAGGTCTAGACTGTCCTTGATGTGTTCTCTTTAGAATTTTCCTTTTAATACCATAAACCTTCAACCATCTACTATACCCAGTGTCTATTGTAGGCTTCAAAATTGGTGGAATGTAAAAGACCCGGGTCTTGTATATGGCAGTTTAAGGTAGTCGATATGAGGGGAATACGGATAAACATTGTAACATAAACAACTTTTAAACCTTTATTTTTTTTAATAAATTTTTTTAATTTAAGCATCAACAAATTCAAAAAATTCAAAACACGCTAGAAAAAAAAAAAAAAAAAAAAAAGGAAAAAAAAACTTTTAAACATGAGTAAAAATCTATTAGACTTGCCAGTAGAATGTATCTATAAAATTTTAACTTTCATCTATGGCATAAATGACATAAAAGACAATCGAAGTGTTCTTAGTTTTTCACTAGTCAATAAACGATTACATAATATTATTTTACCTATATTATGGAAGTACCCTCCCTTAGGATGTGAGTCTGTCGTCAAAAAATACCTCAATGAATTGGACGAAAACGAACAAAAAACACTCATACCGCTTATGATTAACTTACCTCCTACTCTGCCTCGTCCTAAATGCGCAGCTCATTTGGTGAATCTCGACCTGCACGATTTAAACGTTGCCTGCGTAAGATTACTAGTAGTTAGTAGTAGTGGACGCATCTGCGAATGCGGAGAATTAACGATAGTTCGCTCAATGGTTTCTTCTATTATTCTGATGCTATTGCGAACAAATAAAAATCTTCAAAAGCTTAGTCTGTTAATTTCAAAAGACGAGCCCGATTTTCCGGAAGTGTCTATTTCAAGTCAGCCGGGATTATCCAATTTACGTTCTCTTCATCTTTCACTGATGAATATGCCGATGCAAAGAAACTTTCGTAAATTTATCGATGAATTTCCTAATTTGTGCTCGAACCTCCAAGAATTATCCTTGGATTTTTTCAACAATGACACTGATGAAGCAATTACAATGTCATTAATTAACCTTATTGATGCCCAACGACGTCTATCTACTCTCACCTTATGTTGTTGTACTAATGCTCAAAGGTATATCGACAAGCTAAGATCTAGTAGCATTTCTTATGATGTTACCACCAGTCCTGATTTGATCACGATCACCAGAATTAGATAATCTTTATATGTAATATCTGTGTATATATGTATATTTATGTATATATATAGGACATTTTATATTTTTCCTTTTTATTACATACATATCGATATATTTTTTGGGTTTTTGGGTAGGTTATTTGTTAAAGTCCTTAGCATTGTATTTGATCCTGGAATTAAATACGATCAATGCGTTTTATTTGTAAGATATAAGCGATATACATTGTTTCCGTATAGTTCACTTTCCCTTTTTTTTAAGAATTCTATCTTTTACTCTTCTAAAGTTTAGCAGAATAAGACCAAGCGCCAAAGTGCATACTTCTTAAACAATATTATGTATTATATATGATATTTTGTTCTTAAGTCTGGTTATACTTTTGATTTTTCACTAAATCATCTTTGGGAAACGCTTGTATCACTGGATGATGAGCCAAACTAAATGATGATTTTAGTTTCGAAAAGTTATGATTATCGCTGCACAATTATGTTACACCTCCCCGAATATTATTACGTACTTATGCAATTATATTTAAAATAAAAAAATTTTTTTTGATCAAGATAATTCTTATTTAAGATAATATTATTTTAAATTTTAATTGTTGTCCCAATCCCATCTATTTTGTTATCTTGATAATTTTTAACTTCTTTTATTTTCCATATTATTCTCTTTAAAAAAAAAATTTTTCATTGTTTTTTTTTTTATAAAAGAAGGTAAATATATGTTTACGATATGCATTTGCATTTTCCCACGATGATTCTCCTCTAACAGCGACTTTTCGCTAGTTGCGAAAAACAATGCCTGTGAAATTTTTTCTAAAAATTATACCAAGAAAGATTATGAAATTTAAATTTTTTGTTTTGTTGGTGACTGCCCTTATAATTGTATTAATCCTTGCCTTACCAACTTATGCAAAGTTTGATAATAATTTACAGAGTAAGATTCTCAAGATTCATGAAATTTCTCAATAATTTTTATCACCTTTTTATTGATTGAAAAAAAAAAACTTAGTGAACTTAGTGATCAAACCACATCAAGATCCTCACTATCAATATAGTTATCCTCGTGATTTTTCTCGATTATATCGTAGAGCAGCAGAAAACTCTGAAAATGTATTTACTCGTTCAAATATCTACGAAATTTATAATCTTCGTAACCCATCACTTCGAAAAGAACCTAATCCTACCAAGATCTATTAGATTCATTTCTTTATAGTACTCTTTATTTCTATAAATATTTACGGCATAGACGTCAACTTTGACCAACTTTAAATGCGACTATTGTTCTCTTTATTCATTATCATAAAAATAGTCAAACATTATTTGTATTATATTAAAATAAATATTGCTATCACTATATAATAGATTATACATTGTAAAAAAAGCTTTTTCGAATTTTCGTACGAACAATCTATGCCGCGTGATGTAACAATATGCTATGTATGTTAAATACCACATTTATACGCATTTATAAGCATTTATACGCATCTATACGCATCTATACGCATTTATACGCATTTTTATGCATTTAAATAACCAAAAAAATACTAATTAATATTTAACACGAAACTTTTTCAAGAAATCAGGTTCTCTTTTAATTATTGGTAAGAGAATAAAAAAGTTCATATTAACTCCAAAAAAGTTATTTACGATTCATATTGTACTAACTCTTATTATGTTTTTTTTTTTTTTTTCTTTTTTTATTTGCACCAATGATTTCGATATAATTTTATGTACATTTACCGCGTCAATGTTAACTTTCATTCATTTTTATTAACATATTTACTATACAAAAAATTTAATCCGAATAATAATATCATAAACAATCATAATCTCATAAAGAGTCGTGCTTGATTCGTATCTATAGATAAATTTACAGTTATTACAAAGATGGGATGGTCAAACCAGGGGCAAGAACGAATAAAGAAACAGTTAATTGATGATTTTTACTCCTTAGGTAGAACTGTGGCGCGAATTAAGCCACTTTGTCTGTTTCTGGTATAATTAATCTGAACTTTCACGATATTTTCACGGTCTTTGATGCTCCGTTCTAAATTGTCTCGCAAATCATCACTCTCCTTTCCCCATACATACCGTAAATTTAACCCCGCATTTTATCTCTTTTTTTTAAGTTAATTGTTTTTTATTTCTTTCCCTTTTTCTCTCTATCTTCTTCTCAATATAATTCTCATGTCTCCAATTTTTGGTAATTCTTCCTCAAAATATCTTTCACCCTTTGTAGGACTTTTTTCCTTACATTCGAAGCAGACTCAACCGTCTGTTTCTTCATCTGAATCTCTAACCGGAAAATTTATAAATACTGATTGCATCTACGCGAAAATACTAGTGAATTTAACACAAGGTTGGTTTTAAACTTTTAAGTATAACTCAATATTTCGTTCTTATGATTAAAATAGTTAACTCTTGATACATTATATCATATTTAATTTTTTTTACTTTATTTTAATTTTTTGATTTTTTTTTTTTTTTTTTTGTTTAGAATTTGGTGACGAACTTCTTGGATTATTTGCTTATGGTTCCAGAATTTATGGAAACGCTTGTCCCCACAGGTGAGATCTACATTTTAAGTTTATTTGTAAACATTGAGATCTACTTTTAAAAAATTAATAAAATCATTGAAAAATAAAAAAATTATATATATAATAAAAATTATCGAAAACTTCTTTTGAATCCTATTTCGGTTAGGTTAATTTTTTAAACAAATAAAAAATATCGTACTACACTCTTTGTTAATTTCATGTAAATATATTTTTTTTCTCTTTTATATTTCATGGTTTTTTTAGTGATGTTGATGTTGACGTTCTTATCAAAAGTGAAAGAAAATGTAGAAGAAATATTTTAATTGATGGATTAGAGGTAAAATATTTTTCTTTTTTAATAAAAAAAAAAAATAAAAATAAACATAAATAAATATATATATATATTAATATATATTTATACATTTGATTTGAAATTTTTTTTCTTTTTTTTTTTGGAAAAAAGGTTGAAATGTTCATTCATCCACCAATTCATGTATACCATTTACTTACAAGTGATCCAAATGGAATTCATTTACGTTGTTACACATTTGGTCGCGTCATTTATGATCCAAATAATTTATTCCCACCATTACAACGTATAGCCAAAATTCGTTGGGAAACTGGTCCACCGGTATTAGAGGCTAAGGATTATTGGAGACCACGATATGAAATTGCAGATTTATTACGTGACTTGGAAGATTGTGATTTTGTAAATGATGAAGCTACTGCTCATTTTTTATTGGTTAAATTGGTTGAGAGATTAATAAGAATACAAGGTTTGTGTTCTCTTACTAAAATTTGTAAATTTGTTATTTCATATTCTAATATGATTTATTTATTTTCTTAAAAAAAAAAAAAGAACGTTTATGTCAACGTTGGCCTGAAAAGTTGAAACGTTGTTGTCAAAGTTGGGAAACATGGGATCCTGTTGGAGGACGGCTTGCTAAACGTGCCTTAAATTCCAATGTTAAATGGATTGAACGAATAAGATGTTCTAAAGAATTGGCAAAATATGTTTTAGCACCTATTGGTGGTATTATGCCAATAGAATGGACGATGGATTGGGAAGAAATACCTGATGGAGATTTACCCTATGATCCATTAATATTACCCAAAATAGAGGTATTTATAACTCAATGAAACAGTAACAACAGAGAGTAGTGTACAGTAATTTGTAATATACGACAATTTGTTTCTTCAAGCGAGTTTGATCATAATAAGCCCAGTTCCATTCAAGGGATTTCTTCAACTCCATTCAAGGAACCCATTCAAGAGATCAAGGAATCTCTCTTTGTTTTTTTTTTTTCTTCGTTTTTTTTCTCTTTGTTTTGTTTTTGCTTTTTCTTTCTCGTTTATATTCAGAATATAGACTTAATAATTTTATATATTTAATTAATATGTGGTATATATTTACCATTTCTTCCCTTTCACCATCTTTATATATAATTCGTTTGAAGAACCTTCCTTTTATATTCTTTGTTTTAGAATGCTGTCAAGCATTCAGTTAATATAGGTATTATCTAAATCGTGTTTTTACTCAAATAGCTTTAAATAACATAGAACACGATTTATAATTATTATAGAATATATTTTTAGAATGTTTGGAATTATTAATAATATCAAATGTATATACGAAATGAAATTGAAAAACAAGGCTGTGCCACAAATGAATTCAAATAATAAATTTTTTTTTTAAAAAAAAAATCTTCCCCCTTTTAAATGTTTAATGATAGAGAAATATTTGTATAAATTTACTTGTAAGATTTTATCTCTAATAACTTATCCTAATATTTGTTTATGTAAAATATAACGAAATTTGTGCCGAACATCCGAAAAAAAAATGCTTTAATTAGAGATGTTTTTGCGAAAACTAACACGATCACCTAGTATATTAATCATAAACTGACTAATCAATAACATGCGCGTTACCAACTTAAAAAAATTTCGTTAATAATAGAAAAATTTGTAAGGAAACCCTGATATGTTGGTGCGAAGAAAGCTATTCCATAAGCAAAAATGTTTATTTCGCGCGAAAATTTTATCTAGGAATAAATAGCTCACGTGAAATTATAAATAAAAAAAGAAATATTAATTTTAATTAGTTGGTTTCGTTTTAAACGAATAATTCTGTGTTGCATACATAATGATATCATTAAAGTCACCCCAAAGAAAGTTTGGTGGACCGCTGGACACACTAAATCCAAAACGTTAATATAAAAAATATGCTTTTAATATACAAACTTATAAAAATTTTAAAACTTCTATATATATATATGAGTGACAATCTGTGAAAACCTGTAAATCGTGCTTTTTTGAATATTTACTTTTAATAAAAATATTTTAAAACCATCAATTATTATTTTTAGTATCATTTGAATTGCCTTAATGAGACAATTCGAATAACGTTAAAAATTTAAGTATTTAATTACTTTGCTTTTTAAGATATTTCTATTAAAAGTAAATATTCAAAAAGTACGTACGATTTACAGGTTTTCACAGATCATCACTTGTAAAATTCTATTACATGAGTATCACCAAAAGAAAAACATACACATTTATAGTCTATATTTAAATACATTTTAGTGACGTTTATATCAATATAAAGATATTTTCATTTTTGATGCAAGGTCTAGTATTATGGAAACTTAGATAAACTATTGTTATGTATAAATAGTAATAGAGAGATTCATACAGTGCAGGATACCATAAACCGACATCGGCTTTTTATGTATTTTAAGACAATTTGTAATCTTAAGTCTAAGCTACAATTTGGCTAAGAAAGATTTTTATTTTAAGAAGTTATATCAATTTAAAGTTTACTAAGAAATTGAAAATTTGGTGTTTAATACGTATATAAAAAAAAAGAACCAATATTTTTGACCAATTGCAATTGTTATTTTTTTTTGGTATTAAGGTGACAATTACAATTGTTATATAAAATCAGCTAATCAAATTGATTATATAATTTCAAAATTTGGTGCATTTTACCAAAAAGAGTATTGTTTCGCATTGTAGTATAATAGAAATTTGGTTTGATTGAATTTTATTTTATATTAACAAAGTATTGTTAATTGTTTTTTTTTATTTCAGTTTTGCTAATTATCTTAATTAAAAATCTTATACAAGTTTTGTACTTAATTGGTTTAAATTTTGGTTTGGTTATTTCAAAAGTGCTTAAAGATAGTCTGTTACATCAGTTGAAATGTTATTCAAATTCAAAGATTGTATTAAGCTAACCTGTAAGACCAGTGATGTTTTTAAATATATATTATAAACATAAACTGTTTATAAATATAGAAAATAAAAAGATGGTAATCTTAGTGTAATAGTTGAATTGTCATCCTTCAAGCAGTAGATCCAAAGTTCAAATTCTACTAGCAGTAGAATTTTAAAAAATATGGTATTATTCTAATAACTTAATTGAGGTATCTGTGTTGTAATCCTGTAATTCTGATTGTACCAAAACTAACTTTAGGAATGTAAAATGTCATGAATAAATCTGGTAAGTATATACTCTATAAGAAGCCTTGCTTGAAAATTTTAAATAAAAAGATAGTATAATCTTTAATAATACCACCTGTAAAAAGTTTGATCAAAAGATGAAAACCTAAACAGATAACCTATATAGACAAGAATTCTAGATAAAAAGGTTCATCAATCTAGTTACTAGTTAAACTAGACATAAACTCACATTATACAAATCTAACTAAATTAGTAGTATAAAAAAGTTTGCAAGGGCATACAAGATACTAATAAGATTGTAAAAGAAGTTATTAGGGTTGTATAAATTCTACAAAAGTATAGTAGTTTAAAAGTTACTCTAATTACAAATGTTGGTCTTAGTTATAAAAATACTAGATCAGTTGAAAATTAAATAACAGAAGGTTCTAGTAGATTTAGTATAAGTAAAGGTTTCTTATATAAGTAAACTATTTTCAAAACCTAGTAATTATAGTATATTTGTATCAATAAAAATTGAAGCAGTTAAAAGTATAATAACTTAGTGAAATGGTCAAGTTATTACTTCTTAAATAATAAGTTAAGTGTTTAAATTCTATTGCCAATGAAAAATTTAAATAATCACTTATATAATATTTGTATTACAACAATAATTATTAATAATTAGATTAAGACATCTGTAATAATAATCATATTAGTATAATTAGCAAGTTTGGGACATTTATATAAGTATATTATTATACAAAGAAATATAAACTAACAATCAGATAGTGCAAATACTAAATAAAACCTTATAGCTATATAAATTTATTAAAATTAAATAATAAGAAGTCTATTTGGAAAAATCTAAGTAGAAAAGTAGTTAGATCTTTAACTGTTCTATTGTAAAAACTAGTCTTATGAAATAGATACTAAGATCATAGTACTTAAATAGACAAGAATCTCTGAGTTGGAAGTCTTAAAGATATCACTAATCAGACTACTAAAATAAACTAAAGAAAAAGAATATTAGACTAATCTGATATATTGATAAACTGATTATAGTTTTATATAGACTATCTGAATTAAGAGTCTAGTGAAAAGGCAGGAGTATGCTAAAATATTTTAAATATGTTATAAAGTAAATACTAAGGTTTGTATAAACTCTACAAGAGCATAATAGTTTAATAATTAAGTTCTAATTACAAATAATAATTCTGTTATAGTAATACTAAGTCAGTTATAAAAATAAGTACAGAAGATTTACCTTAAAGATAAAATAGTTTTAAGATAAAAATAATGATTTAGACATTTGAGTATGACCTAGTAATATTAATACAGATTACAGGTTTAGAGAGTTTAAAGTAAAATATTTAAGCAAGAATATTAGGTACAAAAATTGATAGAAAAATTTTAGATAAACTTCTTAAATAAGTAATATATATATATTGTTAAGCTACTTCATACTTATTTGTACTATTTTAAAAACTAAATTTATTATATCAAAATAAAATTATTTTTAGTATTCAATAATTTTTAAATAATTTTAAAAATTTTTAAAATATATTTTTATATTTTGAATATATTTACAATCTTTTAAAAAATATTAAAAATTATAAAAAAATATTTTCTAGTTTTGCAATATTTTTAATATAATATGTTTTTTAAACTTTTTCTGACAATGATCTATAATATTCTAGATAATTTTTAGATATCCAAGATTCTGTTGCTTCTTTTAAATCATCTTTGGAAGAATAAATTAAATATTCTATTATTTTTTTTACAATAGCTTTAACTAATTACTAATAATTAAAGTTAAAACATATTATAATTAATTTAATTTTTTTTTTTTTGTTAAAGGCTATACTTGCGATGATACTTTATTAACTTACAATGAGTTAGCTATTACAACTATTTTTACAGAGATAAGAGTACAGCTAGTCACATGTGCAACTTTTGGTTGCCTATTTAAGTAGTCCATCCTAAGGTTCTATACTAGGTGCCATACCTATAACCTACTAGGAGATTATCTATTTAAACTCTTTGATTATCTGCCTTGTCATATTGGAATCTCTGAACTTACCTCTCATATATACCTAACCAGTATACCGTCTGAGCAGTATGGTTACCTACTCTTTTTGTACTAGTTCATAGGCCATTACACATTTCAGAGTATGTCATCTGCCAGTAAGGCACAGGAGGCCCTCTGTTGTTAACTATTTACACACTTTTAGAACACTAACACAGGCTACTCTTGCAAAGTTCACCTAGACTCTAGCACTGACTTCACAGCATATCTTTAGTACTTTTAGTATAATCCTGCTTTGAACTAAGACTTCCAATTCAGATAGCCTGGAAGAACTGTGAACTGTTCTTGGTATATTGAGGCCAGCCTAATATTCTTTTTCTTCAGTCTGAAATCTGGTAGTCTAGTTAGTAATACCCTTCATCTAAGGTTTTTGCCTGTCTAAGTTCTTCATATTGGTATCTATTTTCTAGGTCTAGTCTTTACAATAGTATCATTAAAGATCCATGTTACCTCTCTGCTCAGATTTCCAAGTAAGCTCCAGCTTCTTAGTTCTACAGATTTATACAGCCTAAGGACTTATTTTAGGTTTGCACTGCCTGGTACTAGTTTGCATTTCTCTGTGTAACTACAGACTTTGTCTCAAAGGACAATATTACATGACTATTACACAGAT